ATGTTGGCGACAATACCCATCCATGGATGGACAAAGAGCGGATTGTCATCATGATAGTGAGCATGCTGGTACTCACTTCTAATGGGAGGTTTTGAACTTCTTTCTCTGGCTGGAATGGGAAGATCTGAATCCAAACTTCTTTTTCTGGATGGAATGGGAGAATCTGAGCTTCTTCTGGCTGGACCTGCAGAATCTCTACTTCTTTTTCTGGGTGGAGTGGGAGGTTCTGAACTTCTTCTCTTTTCAAGTTTTCTAGTGGCAATGTTAAGTTCTGAACTTCTGTTCTTTTCCAGAAGGGAAGGTTCTGAACTTCTTTTCCTGACTGGAATGGGAGGTTTTGGACTTCTGTTTCTATGCAGAGTGGATGGTTCTGAAATATACTTCCTTTTCAAGTACCTCTCCAGAGCTAAATGTCTAGCTTTCTCCTTGAGGCTTCTAGAATATGAACCTTTTGCAACACCAGCAGCATGCCGTAGAAGCTCTTTGAAAAGATAATCCTTTTTCCTTTCTCTATGGCAGTATGGACATCTATACATTGAATCTGAAACCTGAATTTTGAGGCTTCCTCTTTTCAGTTCCTTGTAGCACTTATCTTCATATTCCGCTAGCTCAGACTCGCTAATCCCTGTTTCTGCTCCCGAGCAGTAGCTCATTGTGAACCTATTATGCAATAATATCATCAAGAGCTAAGGTGAACAATAGTAAATATTCTAACCATGGCAACCAGATAATAAATTCTTCATCTGCAATTCCGCAACCAGGACAAACATAAAAACACACACTAGAGAAAAATAAATCATTGCCTGCAGTTTACCCTTTCATTGACAGTGCTACTGAAAATCTTCAAAAATCAGTAAAATCAAGTATTAAAATTTTGCACTGCATGAGCAGCATGCTGCTAAGCATTAGCTGCAAGCTTGCAATCACAGCAGCTTGCTGCATTATTATTTAATCAAAATCCTCTATCATCCGTTAGCAACAACAATTCAATATTACTATTGTTCACATCTATAATGGAACTGTAATGGACATAATGAAAGCAATATCACACGTACTCATCATCACAGAACAAGGGGACTGATCATATTCACACCTAATATGGAAGTGATTGTGCTTTCTGATTGTCTTGTTTTCACCAGTTTCTTTAAATAACCTCGAGATTTATATACGCAGATGTTCATGAAATGATGCATATCTCAAATCCAAACAAGCACACAAGAAAAAGGAGTAATTAAACCTCCTTCGATCTCACTTTCATTCTTTGATTAAAATTAAAATTACATGAAGCAAAAAAAATAAACAACACACTGCACACTCATTACTCATCACATCACTCGCATTAAAAATGCAGGAAACTAAAATAAATGAAAATTTTCTATTCTACTTTCCTGCATATTTCTCATGAACCAAACAGACTACTTCAACTACAATTACAACAAGAAATAGTTAAATTACGGCATTACCTCAGATGGAGGAGATTCTAACCCTAGGGTTTCTGGAGATCTAGAAATTGAGAGAGGAAGATCCAAAGTTCGTCTGCAGAGCCTGAACTTCTAAAACAAACCAGCTCGTTTCCCTTCGCCTTTTCTTCTTCCTTTTCCAATTTCGGCAACAATGGGAGGTACATTTATTGTGGGCTCCACATTGTACACGTGGAAGGCGGAGAGTGGATATTCAGAGTCATTGTCAATTTGGAAAGGACTGTGACCTGACAAATGTCAGTACCTCATCTTTTTAGAATTTGTTCAACCAGGCCTCCAACTCCGAACCGGATTATTGGTTGGGTTTGATAATTTGTTTTTGAATTTTAATATTTAAATTTAATTGATGAAATTCGACTTTTATTAATTATTTAAAAATTTTTCTTTCCCATAATTCTTCATATTCAAAAAAAAAAAGAAAAAAAAGAAAAAAACAGGCCTCCAACTCCTAGTCCATCCTCTTAATTGTTTCGATTATGTAGTTATCATAAAGTAGTTCATAGAATATACAATGAATATTAAGTTTAATTTTTTTTTTTTGTGTGGATATAAAAATTTAATAGTTACATTGATTACATCATTTTTGTCACCAACAAAATTAAATTAAATAAAGAACAGTATCGTCCTACAATAATTTTGTTTAAATTAACAAAAATAAATGAATTGAAGATCTAATTATTAGATTATTCATAAAATGGTTTGGGAAAACGTTAGGTGCACTTATTAAATTATAATATTTATTAACAATATGATATATTATTTTATAACTACTTTTTATCATTTTTTATTAAAATACAACATGACTATGTACTTATGGATGGTATTATCAAAATATTTGTGACAAAGCACAATAAATACAGAGTGGTTGTTATTTAAAGGAAGTCAAAATATGTAACTTTGAAACCTTAAAGAATAACGATGGTAAGAACTAATTTTTTGGACTAAATCTTAAAATAAATTTGTGATAATAATTGATTATGATAAGAGTCTCATATAGACCCACATAATCAACCGTAAAAGTAATTTCATCTCAAAATTTCATTTTAAAATTTAGTCTCAAGAATCATCACTCCACTTTGAAATATGTTATGTGGTTATCAAATATTGAACAACACATTACAAACATAGATGACACAAATTAATCATTAAGCAAATCTATACACGGTATATACCAGAACTTGAACCTAAGACCATAAAATGTCAAGACTGCTTCTTAACAACCAGGTCAAGACTTGGTACCATGAGTATATGTTACAAAAATGAACCACATCAATCAAACAGAACTCCAACAAGGTATGAACTCCCAAAGGATATGCCTGTAAAACCTTCAAAGAAAAGCATTTTTGAGGGGTTTCCCAATGCAACAATGTAGTGAAACCCAGACATTGATTCACAGAATTAGAAACACAAAACATCTTTAGTTAAGAACACTAACAGTATGTTCGGGTTGCGGGGAATGGGGAAGAGAGGAAAATTTTCCTTTATTTGGTTACCAAAAGAAATGCAGGGGAAGGGAGGGAGGGAAAGAAAGCCTTTTGCTTTATTTTTTCTTTTAAGTTATTTACTTATCCAAATGAGGGGAGGAACTGAGGAAGGAGAAGGATACCCCACCCCTTCACAGCTCTCCTCAAACCAAACATCCTGTAAGGCCAATAATAATAACACAAGATATTTTTCAAAAGAATAACAAAATAAACGCAATAAAAGAGTAAATGCATATTTGTTACTGAAATCACCATCTCCAATCTAGCGCCCTCCAAAATCACTAATTTTAAATCAGCTGCCTCAGAAGATTATATTTAACTTAAACATTCAGTCATTCCCATTATCATATAGCTGGAAGTTACATAACCTTAAAACTGCTAAAAAGGATGAAAATTTAACAAGAAAGGAGCTTCATTCCCAACGTAAAACTAACTAGCACTACTAGGATAAGAAAAGAAGACTTCACCAGAGAGCAAAATCCGACACCGGCAGGTGACCCCAGCTCCTCAGTACCTCCTCCCAGCTCCACCACGACCAAACCCAACTGGTGGAAGCGGTGCAGCCACTGGATCTACCTTTACTAACCCAGGAAATTCACTCATACCCAGAGCAGAAAGCATATCAATGGTCTCCCTATCGACCTCGATGTGGTCGGTCTTGATGGCAGATTCATCCGGGACGAAGTCCATACGGCGCTCGCGCTCCTCTTCTTGCAGCTTGAGCGAGATGCCTCGAACTGGACCCTTCTGGATGCGCTTCATGAGGTGGGTCGAGAACCCGGCAATCTTGTTGCGGAGGCGCTTGGAAGGGATTATGGCAACCTCCTCGAGGATCTTCTTGTTGGTGTGGAAATCAAGAGTCATTTTCGAGTAGTAGCGCTCAATAACTTGGCGCGATGACTTCTTCACCGTCTTGGTACGGACGCGACCCATGGCTGCTTCACTCTGCGCGTCGTGTGTGCCTGTGCCCCTGTACTCGGAGCCAAGGAGAAGAACGGGTGAGGGTCAGGGTTAGGGTTTTGTAGTGTGACTGTTTACAACTTTACATTTTAGGGGCCAGAACCAGGAAGAGGGTTGTGTCTAAATGGTCGTTAGGGACAAAGTTTCTGATTAGGCCGATATGCCGAATTAACACTCCTTGGGCCTAAACTAAGCCCATTGATCTAATAGACCAAAAAATAAAAAATAAAAAAACCCCACATAATTGTTTTTTTTTTTTAATAAAAAAAGTATTTTTCAAGATAGACAGTATATTAAAAGTGTTATCCGTCTTGTAAATTTATTTAAATATCTTTAATAACACTATTTATTATATTATTTTATTAAGAATATTTAAATAAATTCATAAGATAAATTACATTTTTAATATATACTATACCTTAAAAAACCTTGTTTTTTCCCATAAATTTTTGTAAGTATGGTCTGTTTCAACTCAACAAATTGAGATAGAACTCCAAATACATACTTCATTTCTTTAACCTTAATTGTCATACTTTTAACTTTTTTTAATTTTAGACGAAAAATTAACATAATATATAAATGGAAATTAAAATATTTTTTTAATCAAATATAACTATTCAATTAAAATTGCATATAGAAAAAAAAATTCAATTATTATTTATATACATTGTTAAATTTTCATTTTGAATGTTACAAAAAATCAAAGCAATATAACTAAAATGGAATATATAGAGTACCTTTCATTTGAGTCAAATCCACTTCTTGCCTAAATTATTATTATTTATATGGGTACAAGTTGCTCAAGAAATCATGTTATTCAAGCTAATACAGCCCGCTCAATCATTCTAAATTAAAGAAAAAAAATGAGAGAGAAAAAGTCAAAACAAAACTCGTAACATATTATGTAGAATAGAGATGTTCATCTATTGCTAAGTAGGATAGAGATAACATCTAACTAATGGTGTGCAATTTAAATCCATTAGATAAGTTGAGATTCTTTCAAATTATATTGTTGAGGGACTAAAACCTTAAGTTTTTAGATGAGAGGCCAATAATTTTAAAACCTATAAATCAAAGGGCTAAATAAGAGATTGAACCTAAAAAAATATCACAACTAAAGTTGAACAAAAGAATATTATATGTTTTGGAGTGGGGTAAGGTTGCCTCAATGAGTTGAGATAAAATTATAAATATATATTTCTTAATTGTGTCAAATTCATATTAATTCTTAATTCTTAATTTTTTATTCCTTCCATCTTAAGATAACAGACATTTTTTTAGTGTTTTCATTAATTAAGAATTTGTAGATAATTTATATTTTACTTATACTATCCTTAATAAAAAAATAAAGACAAATAAAAAATTTAAGAAGAAGTAATAAGGTGAATAATTAAGTTAAGAGATAATAATATGGTTTAAATAAAAAAATAATATATTTATCTAATTTAAGAATAAGAAAAGAAATTTAAGTTGGGACAAATTTTGAATAAAAAATAAAATTTTATTTAGGGATAGAAGGAACACATAACTTATTTTTTTAATGGGTACAACTTACCCAAGGAATCATGTTATTAAATGCCACAGCCAAAGCGGGATTGGTTAGCCTATAACCACCATCCACAGCCAAATTGACACCGCTCACGTACTTGGACTCATCACTTGCTAAATACAAGGCTGCTTCTGCAATATCTTTCGCTTCTAATTTTGCCTCTTTCAAAACTGCGGATTCACAAACTGCCTCATCTATCTTCTTTTCATCAGTTATCCCTGTTGTCTTTTTAAAATTTGGAGTTGGGACTACATGAGGAGAAATGCAATTGACCCTAATCCCATATTGTCCCAACTCAACGCTCAAGTTCCTAGTCAACCCCGCAATAGCATGCTTAGATGTTGTGTAGGCATGAGGGGTGTTGGCACATATCATAGAAGCAAGACTTGAAGTGAAGAGAATGCAACCTTTCTTGGCTGGAATCATTACCCTAGCAGCATGCTTGGCACCCAAGAAAGCACCACACACATTGACATCAAATACCTTCTTGAAGTTCTCAATATCACAATCTACAGCTTTGATTTCTAGTTTACCTGGAATGGCAGCATTATTGAACATGACATCAAGTTTTCCAAACTTAGAGACGGCCAAATCAACTGTGTTTTGGACATCAAATTCAGATGCGACATCACAATGGGCATAAGTGATGGTTTCATGGGTCCCAAGCTCCTTGCAAACTGAATGACCTAATTCATCTTGAATGTCCGCAACCAGCACCTTTGCTCCATGTTTAACAAAAAGCCTGGCAGTGCTCTCGCCTATGCCACTTGCACCTCCAGTTATCACTGCTACCTTACCTAGGAGCCTGCAATAAACAAAATTGGGTTTTAATTTGTTACACATGGGCAGATTAATATTTCTCAAATTGAAATAATTTGATTTACCTCTGGCCTATGGAGCTGGGACTCATCTTAGTTCTTACCAGAGAGTACTACGTTGCTCATATGAAGAGAAAATTTTGTGCTTATGTATTTGCTTCTTTTGACTGGTGGCTATATGCATCATTCATAGTTGTGAAGCATTTGACAATGCCACGTGAATCCATGTGGCTTGGATTAGTTGGAGTGAATAGATGTGACATATTGAGTTCAAATTCATGCATGTTTGACTTTTGAAATAAAGTTAAACTAGATATCAATAATTATTTGAATGCAAGAATTTACCCTTGTTAAAGTTAAATTAGAATAAATTAAAATTTAATTTTAATAGTAGTAACTTTTTATTTGTTTTACAATAATTTGTTAAAATATTTCATTCGTAATTGTTGAAAGAGAATTTTCCTTTGTTTTCTCATTAACCAAATAGGTAGATCACTAACAAAATATATTTCATTTATTTGCTCAACAAATTAAACTACATCCGCTCAATAAGAAAACAACCACAACTATGTTAAATTATCATAATTTTCCTTTGTTTTCTCACATACCAAACAACTAGATCACTGACATAAAATATTTCATTTGTTTTCTCAACAAAACCACTTTTGGCCAGTAGGAAAACAACACCAACATCAATTTTCTGTCTTTGTTTTTTAAGAATCCAAACAACAAAATCAATGAATTTCAAATTTAAATCAAAATTTGACTCTAAATATTGTTGGTAAAAAGTCTAATTCCATGTGAATACATGGACTTTCTATGTGGGACTTTTTCTCATTGTCCCATGCTAATCGTGGGCTAGCATTGCTTTGTTGAAATTATACAACAAAATCAATGAATTTCAAATAAATCAAATTTGACCCTAAATATTGTTGGTAAAAAGTCTAACCATGTATAAACACATGGACTTTTCATGTGGGACTTTTTCTCACCATCCTATAAGCTAGTAGTGAGCTAGCATTGTTTTGTTGAAATCATACAAAATTGCATGATGAACTCATTTAATGAGGCAAAGAAAATCATGCATGGGTGGTTGGTTTCTCCTTCCATAATAACCCATGCAAAGGCGAGGCAACGAGCAAGTGAAAAATGAAAGCAAGGGAAATTGAGAAGAGCTAAGTGAGTGAGTGCTCATGTGAGAGGAAAGAAAGAGAGAAATTGTGAGATAATTATTGTGAAGATTAAGAGAGAGTATTGAGAGAATTTGAGAGCTTTTATGCATTGAAGTTAAGGTGATGAGAGCTTCTTGAGTGAAAGAACTTCTAAACTATTATACTTTTTTTTAATAATGGATTTATATCTCTCTTTTTCATAAAGAAAAATACAAGTTAAACCATAGTAAATTGTTTCTTTATCCTTTCTATTTGTCTAGGATTGTGGTGTTCAATATTTTCCCAACAAATATATCTAAATTAAATTTATCAAATTTTGATAAAAGAAAGACAAAACTTATTAAATTTATCAAATTTTGATTATAAATATATCTAAATTAATAGCAATGAATTTGCTAGAGTCAACAAATTTCAACGAGTTTTCTATAATGTTATGAATTTCATTACAAAAATCATATCTCAATTAAATCTAGAAAAAACAAAAATCTCAATTTGCTTCAAAGGAACCTGATTTGGTAGTCTCAAATCTTCAAGAGAGTCAACAATTGATGAGAGCCCAAACATTGGAAAACCACTTAACACTCATTGAGAGCCATATATATAGGCAAAATTAGAGTTAGTTTCTTACTCTTGTGGCTTCAATCTTTAAGCCAGATAGAAATCAAGGAAAGGGAGGAGACAGAGAGGGGAAAGGAAGAAGAAAAGCACGAGTGAGAAGATGGTTTTGATCATTGATAGAGGAGGTGGATTCAACTAAGCTTACATAAAAATATGGGAAGTGGGAGAGTAAAGAGGCAAAAACCTACTTTTAATCTTTTACCTTAATAAATTTGTAGGTTTTAGCCTCTCACCTTATACTATGACATTTTTAACCTTTTACCTTACTAAATTTGTAGATTTTAACCCCTCACCTTATACTATAACACTTTTAGCCCTTTACCTTAATAAGTTTGTAGGTTTTAACCCCTCAACCTATACTTTGACACTTTTAACCCCTTACTTATACAAATTGAAGAAAATAACTTTCACTTAACATCAGCTTATAACATTATGTTAGTTGACTGTTAGTTTTATTCGTTGATTATTAGCATTCGCTAATATTTTGTTATAGAAAATATGAAATTTAAATTCAATTTTAGTTGTTAGTTTCGTTAATAAAATGCTAACGAAATGCTAACGAAATGCTAACAGTCAATTAATTGAATTAACAGTTAGTTAATAAAACTAATAGAACATTATAATATAATCTTCAGTAAGGGTTATTTTTTTTAGTTCATATAGGTGGAAAACTAAAAATATCATAATATAAGATAAGAAGTTAAAGTATATAAATTTATTAAGATAAAAGACTAAAAGTAAATTTTAGTTGAGAAAAGGTCGGGTAGAGGAGAGGGGTCAAAAACAAAAAATAAAATTTAATCATGGGTAAGGTGGGATAAATTTTCTTCATTCGGAAACTGATGGGATATCAGATGGGATGAACAGTATCCATCCAATTTTTCCACCAAGTGTGGGACACAAGCACATGTGACACATTTTTTGTCCCATCCCACTTTCTATCCAGGGCTCCAAACAAAAGTTGACTATGGCAACGTGGGAGAAAGGAAGACGGAGCATTATTTCAAAAAAAAAAGAAAAAGAAAAATAAATAAATAAAAGGTTAGATGTTTGGTCTTTTAACTTTCAATTCTAAATAAATTTAATTCCCTAACTTTTTTTTTTACTTTTTTTCATTTTTAACTTTAGAAAATACACATTTTTTTATGTTTCCGTAAGTTAAGTGTGACAAGGCCATTAGTTTTAGATGACGTGCAATTACCACCCAACATAATAAGCATAGGTGGACCAAAAAAACTAGAGTCCGCTTTAATGACATGTTATAAATTTGAGAAATGCTAGGGGCAATCGCTTCCCCAACACTCTCCCTCTCTTGCTGCCATGCGGAAGCCAAATTTAACTTGTAACTGGTAACAGGGAAATACAGGTAACTTTCATTTCGATTTTCAATTTCTCTCTCTTCATTCCTGGAATGGGCTTCAATGTTTCTTTTTTCATTTTTTCATTTTTTCTTTTGAGAGAGAGAGCCAAATTAATGGTTATTTTAGTCCCTATTGTCGCTGACTCCATGGTAGATACCGGAAAAATTACTCTTTCGATGATATATAACCAATCTCCTAACTCTTCTCTTGTGAAATTTTTTACAACAGAGACACATCCAAGTTGAAGTATCCCATAAGAGAAAGCAAAGGAGGAGCAAGATTCAATTTTCCTAGTGGTGGGTACTTGCTAGAGGTAGCTGGGTTCATTTCCTCACACTTCCATTAGATATTTGGATGGAAAAATAGAAAATACATTGTTAGCAAATTCACAACCATCAAATTGAATTGAAATCCATCGTTAGCCAAAAAATAAAAAAATAAAAAAAAATACTAGCCTTAAATTTCACTTGGATCATACTGACATACTGGCCTAAAACTTCATCATGTTTTAAGCCTTTTGGTTGAATTTCTCTTGTAGGAAGAAGCTACGATGATTCAATTGCAAAGCCAAACCTGGATATGAAGGTATAGAGAAGAGAAGAGGGCAAGAAGACTGGAAAATCTGTTTGAGGGATTGAAAAGGAGAATGGGAGAGAAAGGATGGTGTCAGATTAATTTTGGGTATGGCCATTCAATTACTGGTGGAGTTAGATCAGCACCGATTAGGAAAAACAGTGAGGAGATTAGACAGAGAGGAAGAAGGAAGAGCAATATACACTATATATTAAAGATTTTAAATAGTAATAGTAAATTAGACAATGTTATAAATTTTATAATATTATATAAAATTATAAAATTATAATCTTATATAATTTTAAATAAAATATGATATAATATTAAATAAATAAAAATATATAATATTATAAATAAATTTTTAAATACAAAAATTAATTATATAATAATATATCTTATTATACGATATTATAATTATAGTATTTTTCTTATAAACTATATATTTTTTAAACTTGAAAGTCTAAAACAGTTGTCTACAAGAAGTTAAAAGATTTAATGACGTGGCAGACGTGGCAGAGTAAGGGAGAAAGTGTCTGAGGAATGTGGTGAAGCGTGTGCTCCTACCTAGCAGTCCTCTATAAATTTATAATCCATTTTACATTAATAATTTTAATTATGTTAGGTAAAATGACAGTTTTACCCCTGTGTAAAAGCATGGAATAACCTTTTGCAAAAGCATCCAAAGAAATATTAAAGCTTTTGGCTTTCTTCGATTAAAAGCTGTTTTTTTTTTTTTTTGGCAAGGGTAATAGTTAGAAAATTAATATGAATTAGTTGTTAACGACTTATCCTCAAACTAGGTGAATATTCCACCCCCTCAAATAAAGCATACGGTCATTAGACCACTTTTTAATAAAATTTACGACGGTGGTGAAATTCGAAACTCCGATCACCTCACTCAAGCCCTCAAGGCTTGGGGTCGAACTATTGAATATAAAAACTCGATTCAAAAAGCTCTCATTTTATCGATCATCTCTGTTTATTAAAACATGGAAGAAAATTAATTTAAAAATTTTGAGGTCAATGACATAATGTAAATCATATTATTTAAAATATTAAAAAATAAATTTTATATTATTTAATAATTAATTTTTTATTTTTTTATATATATAATATTATATACATCAATTCATTTAATAATATATTTTATACCATATTATTTTTTGGAACACATTTTATACCATATTATTATTATTATTTTTTTATATTGATTACACAAGGAAAAACAACCATATTTTATCCTTTATCCCTTATCCCTTATTCTTTATCCTTTATTTTTTATCTCATCTCACTTATATGTCATACGATTGGAATTCAATATTTCTTACTTTTAATGATAAGAAATAATACTCAAATTATTTAAATTGTCAATATTTTATGTCATATTATTAATCCCTATTTTACTCTCAAATTTTCGTCTATCTTTGTCACTGCTCTTTGGGGGTGTGATCGCTTATTTTAGGGAGAAAGGTCTTTTGGGGTTAAAGTAGCTGATTAGGGCGACGGGCCGAGTTGGTACTCATTTTTAGGCCTAAATTAAGATTCATTGGTCCAACAGTATAAAACTGTAACTAACGGTCCAGGCAAGAAAAATTAATCCACACATATTTCTTTTTCCACTACTCGCTGGGTTTATTTATTTATTTTTTTGTTGTTTTTTTTATGAGATCTCTGGGTTTAATTTTAATTGTACCTTTATGATTTGGGAAGTATAAATTTAGAGTTAAATGTCAATTTTAGTCATCAAACTTTTAATTTTGAACAAATTTTAGTCACAACTATTTTTATACTTTTTTCATTCTTAAATTATAAAAAATATATTTTTTTAATCAGTCTATCAATTAATTTGTAAACTCTATTTATATATGCATTTTTAAATAGAATAAAATGAGTTGTAATTATTAAATAGTTAAATATGTCTAATTAATTTAAAATTTAACATACAAGATCTACTAACATTAATAAATTCAATAATTTATTTGAAAAAAATACAAATCATATAAAAAATTATTAATTAATGTAAGTTGAAGTATAAATTACACCATTACAAGTAAATCTTTACTCTGTTAATATACCATTGTATTTAATGAATGATGACATTCTTACCAAAATAAAATAAAATAAATTGATGATGTACGGCATCCCTATTGGTAGCTTAGTGGGCAAGGTTGCCACTATTTAGTGGGGAAGAGCAAGCCATTGTTAACAATCCATAAGAATTAATAGTCTATTTAATTTTGAGGGGATAGACAGAATGTTATTGTAATAAAGTTGTTAAAATCAAGATTTTATCTAAAATTGTTTTAAATAGGTAAAGTTAAAATCGTAAAATGGAATTGGTAAAATCGAGAGGTTTTTAAATTTAATAAATAAAGAATAAAAATTTATACTTTTATATTAATATATTAAAATTCAATAATAACTTTAATAAAATTAAAATTTAATATTATAATATATGATGATATAAAAAATAAAAATAAAAAAACATATTTTTTATGCCATAAAAAAATATTTAAAAAAAAATGGTAAGAGTTTTTCTCAATTGGGTTAGTCAAAGTTTCAAACAATAAGTTAGGCATATTTAGTACAGAACATATTAATCCAAATTGGGTCAACGAACTAACCATGCATTAGAAACCAAGGTTAAAAACACAAGTGGTTAAGAAGGACAACCACAAAACCCAAATTTTATATCAACAGTCGTTACTACTCATCATTGTCACCTTCTTCTTCTTCAACTTCATCTTCATCTTCATCATCATTCTCACCCTACTGCATCTTTCTTTCCTCTTACTCTCTCTTCTTCATCCCTTCATTTCAATTTTAATTCTCCACAGTTGCAAAATTTAGAAAACCCAGTTTCTTTAACAATCCCCTTAATTGACATCTCCAGATGATTTGGGTCACCACTTACCAAATAGATTTTCGTCCGGCCAGCAACTTCTTTACTTGAGTAGTGAGCAGCAAGTAGCAGCGTGAGCAACAACAGTGAGTAGCGGCACCACATCAGTCCAATTTCTCCCTCCCCTGCGGCAAACCTAAAGAAGATCAAAGGTCAAATTAATGTTTGAATTTATGGAAGCATCTTCTTCAATCTTTGAAAGTAAAATCAAGATATCAAACGAGTTTACTATAAAATTGAGATTTTACGATTTTACTCCTGATTTTATGGAGATTCGATTTTGATAGAGTTTACTCGAATTACATATCTAACATCGTAAAATCGTCCAATTTTATAATTTATAATGTGATTTTGACAACCATCATTGTAACTACTAAATTATTTTATAATTTATTGGTTTAATATTTAATTTAATTAGTTGAAATAATATAAGCTTCTCTCTGCTCTCACTATTTTTCTTAGGGTATGTCTAGTTTAAAGTTAAAATTTGTTACCAATCAAATTATAAAATTAAACAATCTTACAATTTGATATGTCAAAAAATCATCTCTCTCTTCACCTCCTTTCTTTTTTCAAACCAAAAATACTCTTAAACCAAACATTTTATTAGTGTAGCAATTAGAAGAAGAAATGAGATTTATGAAGGCTAAGTCAACTACTATAAAGTGACATTTAATTTTTATTAAAAGGAGATCAACATGCGATGATTTAGGAGATGTTTAATTTATAAAGGAAGAAAAAAGCTTGGGACGAAGTTTGTGTAAGCTGAGATCTTTTACATGTTTAATTTATAAAATAATAATAATAATAAAGAGTGATCGATATTAACTATGATTTAAATCTTGTATAGGACATGATTAATAGATGAAATTTTCATATAAACCCACATAATTAATAGAAGAAAAAAAAATTACATTTGATGCTTTGTTGTCAAATTTTTGTTCCAAAAATCGGTGCTCATTTCTCAAATCTAAAGAATACTAAAGCTTTTGGTTTACTTTAAGTTTACAAGCTGTCATTTTATTGAACTTGACAACTCTGTTTATTGAAACATGGAAGAAAATAAAGGGAGAGACAGAGCATAACAGAGCACCTCTGTTTTCCTAGAGAAAAAAGAAGTTCAAGAGGGTAAGCTATAGAGACTCTTGAGAGCCATTGATAAAGAGGGGTTGGTGAGGCTATAACCACCGTCAACCACCAAGTTGACTCCGTTCACATACTTGGACTCATCACTTGCCAAATACAGAGCTGCCTGCGCGATGTCCTCTGCTTCTAGCACAGTTTCCTTCAGGGTAGCCGTGGAACAAACCACCTACTCTGCTTTCTTCTTGGTTATCCCTAAGGGTTCTGTCAGCATCGGGGTTGCCACTGCAAATGGAGAAATGCAGTTAACTCTTATCCCATATTGCCCCAGTTCCACAGCCAGGTTCTTGGCTAAGCCCACAACTGCACACTTTGCTGCCACATATGCATGTTGAGGCCATCCGAAGGACACAGATGCCATACTTACCGTGAACAATATGCAACTTTCTTGGCTGGAACCATTACCCTGGCAGCATATTTGGCTCCCAAAAATGCACCAAATGCATGGACGTCAAAGACTACCTTGAAATTTTCGCTGTCTGCACCCAAGATTGTAGCATCTGAGCTCATTATACCGGCGTTGTTGAACATGATATCGAGTTTTCCACACTTAGAGATAGCAAAGTCCACTGTATTTTTTACATCAGATTCAGATGTAACATCGCAGTGGACGTAGCTGATACTTTCCGAGTTTCCGAGTTCTTGGCAAAGGGAATGGCCTAATTTGTCTTGGATATCTGCGACGAGGACCTTGGCACCATGTTTGACAAAGAGTCTAGCTGCAGTTCCTCCTATGCCATTGGCTCCCCCGGTTACCAGCGCCACCTTACCTTCTAATCTGTGTATTAAGCAAAAGAGAAAGATTAGATATGCAATCAAATTTCGAAATAAAATCAACATAACTATTATTCTTTCAATTTTGCTTACCTCTTTCCTGAAGTCTGGATACTCATTTCGTTGATCTTCTGGGTGAGATCTCTCCTCCGTCCTTGCTAATTATGTAAATATATAAAAGTACTACAATAATTGCCTCTGATGGTATTTTATGATTTACATGAGGTTTGGATTTGAAATTTGGGTTTGTTGTGACTTGAAAGGGATCGCACGAGATTCCGATTCAAAAAATTCGAATTCAACAGTAATAAAGGTTAGAAGTGGAGGATTTATTATTAAAAATTTGATAAAAACACGTTTTTCCACTCATATAGTCAGTGTTTAAGTTCTTATATTAGTTTTTAACTCATATAAGTGTTTTAACTAATTTATCTAATCCCATAAGAAAATAGCAATTTTTTCGAATTAATAAATTTTTGTCCTTTGTGTTGGATTTCCCTTTGTATTTTCATTTATATATGTTTTTTTATTGTCAATAAAAAAAAAAGTACATTATTAGGATCGAGGGTGCATTTAACTCTGGTGTTAGTTTATGACAATGTTATTTGATTTTCAAATGCGATAATAGTGGGTTTTTTTTTTATTAAAAAAATATAGATCATGGGCTTGTTTGGTATTTGAAAGATAATTTTTTATATAATTTTATTTGTTATTTAATAATTAATTCTTTCATTTTATTAAAATTTATAATAATTGGCTGTATATAAGGTCCTATATATCCTAGATAGATCATCATTCCACCACTGTCCGAGCTATGGCACGGGGAAGACACCTCCACATTATCAATATCAATATATGTTTACATCTTTTAAAACATTAATAACATCAGTAAAATAGTAATTTTTAAGATATAAGTTAAGAATATGATTATTATATATTTTTTGTTATTAATTAATATTAAAAAT